GGCTGTCGTTGAATTCTAGGAAAGCACAAATTTAGTCTGATTAACTTCCAAAATTAAAAGGTTCTCTCTTTTGCGTTATTTAGGTGTTAAGACCTGAAGTTGTGTGCTGTATGCATGCCTGGAAAAATATCATTACACTAAATATGTAGTCAAGAACTATTTTATGTTTTCCTGATAATCTCAAAGTATTCAGACTGTATTTCCTTGAAGCAAGAGAGAACCCAGTTTTGTTTTTACTGGTGATGTTTGGGTCTGTGGGAAACCTACAGAAAGCTGTCCCACACATCTGTCACACAAGGCAAACAGCATTCAGATACACAGGGAGCTCCATTTAGATAGTTCTCTTTCCAAATGCCTAGCTGCTTCAGCACTATAGTTCATGTGGCCTCCTTTACACTGGATTATGTTGTAATTTCTTCTTTTTTTGGTCTAGTGTGTGTGGAGTCTGAAGGGGAGAGGGTCACCAAGAGCCCTCTCCACCGAGCCCAGGGACTTCTACAATTCCTCCTACTAGTCTGGAGGTTCAAGCCACCCACTTGATGGTGGAGAATGCAACAGAGTTAGTTAGAAACAGAAAGAAAAATACATTGCACCATCCTAATGAGATGCTGTGGGAGTGGGCTCTTTCATGGAGCTCTGGAAGAAAAGGGACCAGGCTGAAGGCACTTTCCTGGGCCAGTTGGGCTCTTGGTAGCTTACAACTGCATAGCCATACCTTAAGCAACTTCAGCTAAGATTGTCAAAAGAGCTGAAGAAGTGGCCAGCAGACTCCTTTGAAAAATCCCAGCCCTTATTGTGATTGTGTTAAGGCTTATTTTTCAGCGTTAAAAACATTTCGACAATGTGTATTTCAGTTTGAGAAAATTCCTATAGAAATGATGACCAAACCGAGAAAAATTCCTACATAATGCTGAGTAACCCCCCGCCCAGATACAATAGTTTCTCCTCCTTTATTTTTCCAATGATTAAAAAAAATCTGCTTTTACAGAACAATACTTTGTCATGACAGATGTCATGACATCATACATTGGCATCGTGCTTTCTCATAATAGTGTTTACATTTTGAGAGAAAAGGTGAAGTAAATTCTACATGACACCTTTAGTTTTCCATTTGACTGTTCTGCTTTTTTGTTTTGACAATTATACAAAAAAATAGTATCTTGGTTAGCGGTTTGACTGGCAACCCCACGGAACCCTAAATAATACTTCAAACTAAAAGAATGCACTTTTACAGACACGGTAGATAAAACAATATGTACAATTCTGACAAATAAATACATAAATACAGCCATTCATATATAATGATACACCTAAAGTTCAATTACTATCAACAAGCTTTTCTAGTTAAATACCTTCTTCATTTATAAATTGCCCTTGCCTTCTATATTTAAAAAAATCCCAATTAGGAATCTAAATAGGAAAGGTGGGAAATGAATCTTAGGTCATCTGTTTAAATATTCTTGAGTCATTTGACAGAAAAGTCTACAGTGAAAAAATTCTCCAAAAGAGAGGGGTTTTTTTGTTTTTCTTTCCCCAACAGCTTCTCACTGCTGTGTGCTTTGGGTACATTTCAATCAAAACCAAATATGATTTGTTTACTATTTGGATGAAAGTGATATAAAAATCCAGCACTTTTTATCCAAATTGTCACACACTTATTAAAACAAAATGACCTTGAATTAACACAAATACTTGATTTCATTCTAGGAAGCCCAATGCAAGTACTGCTTGTTGCTACTTAGCAGTATTCAGTGCCACACAAATACTTCTCAGTGAGAGGGACAGGTGCATGTTTTATGACTAAACATACTGCTTCCCTTGCAGCTAGAGGTTGCAATACTGGGTTTTTTTGAGCCAAGAGAAAATAATCAATCCATATCATGGCTTTGACAACCTAATGAAGTCCAGTATCAGAAAATTAATAAAAATAGAAAATTAGTTTTTCTTTTAATTCACCTGACATAAAAAAGTTTTTACATTCAAAAATTAGGGCACACATGCTTAAGGCTCTTGAAACACTGGACAAATATAATGTCTAACTCAGATCCATGCATAAAGAATGTTACGTAGCAAGCAGATTCTACACATATATACACCTGAATACAGAAGAAAATGCCTTAGAAATATGTACACAAGTTCCATGATAAACATTTACATTTCAGTTGAAAGACCTATTTATTTATAAATGCCAGGAAAAAGTATTTTCAAGATGTACTTTCCAATTGTAATGCAATTTTCAGGCTGTCTGAGGCAGTCTATTTATAAAATGGCCTCCAGGCCACTCTTTAGTCTTGTGGTTGGTAGCAATGGGACCCCTACAACCTTTACGGTTACTGAAGCGAGTGGTCTCTTTGCTGGCCTCAAATAGGTCGGCAGGGAGGAGGTAGGGCCACAGGGTCCATACATCTGTGGATCCAGTGGCCAAAAATCACTGCACAGTGTAGAAGGACAGCAGAAACTATTACAGCCTCTACTAGTTAGAGTAAAATACAATAAGTGTTCATGGTGGTGCTGCACATGCAGCGTGTGGTTTACCCACAGGTTATGAAGGAACTGAATCCCTCAGCCTCCACTTAGTCACCTGTACGTACCTGGGCTTGTGGATGGAAGGGTGAATTTCACCCAGTGTGTGTACATATATTTATAATATATATTATATACATATATTCATATGTGCAATAAGTTGAACCTTCTTTTCTTAGAGTTCAGAGTTTGGCAAGAAGCAAGAGCAGCTTTAACAAGGACTAGGTGTGCTGGGAAGGATTTATCCTAATTTTATTGAAACAAATTCAATGGTTTTAGCCAATATGTTTTATCTTTTTTTCTACAAAGGTACACAAGCTACTACAATTGGTGGTTACTGGCTACTCTTGGTTACTAATAACTGGACAACCTCACTTTCAACTCTGAAGCCTCCTTCTAGTGTTTTTGTTCAGTGTAGTGTAGCACTGTGATTTAAAGAGTAAATGCCTATTTCTTATTTACAAGTCATTACCTTGAAATCAATGGTACTGTTCATGTGAGGTTAGCAGAATGCATCATTAGATTGCGAGCTGCTTGGGGCAGATGCTTTCATTTACTCATTCATTTATAAAGTGCTATGCACACCTGTGGCATATTAATAACAGATAATGTTAAAGGCAAAATTAGTTCAGCCTTTTTACTCCAACACAAATTTGTAATTTTATGAATAATCCACAGCTTGTAAATTATTTTGATCAATTTTTACCTCTTTGATGTTTGCAAACTGTCTGTTAACATGCAGCAATGTTCTTGAATTAGGTGCTAAAATGATTCAGTGAAGAATTTTAATTAATTCATTGTCATCTATGTGAGCAATTTATTGTGACTACAAATGGTTAAAGTTTTTAAACAAAAACTTCTGTACAAAAAAGGCCTTTTCAGAATTCTTCTGGTGGTGGGGGGAACCCTGCCAATATTAAAATTATATTCCAGAAAAGTATGTTTCAAAATAGGTCATCAAAAGAGATGGAAGTTTTGCATTTTCTAAAAACTGTTTTTCAGCAAATAAAAATTTGAGAGAACCATTTTCACAAAAAATATGATTAAAAAAAAAGTTTCATTTTGACCATTCCCAAAACAAAGCAAGCATTTTGAATGTTATTTTCTAAATTACTTTCTGACCCCCTGTGTTTGATTTTTTAACTTAGTTGTTTTGTATCAGAGATTAGTCCATCTGGGTGATTGAGAGTAACTCTCTAGATTTTTGGTGTGAATAAGTGAAAATTTACTTTGCAATTTGATTATGTGAGCACCCTGCCAGGAAGTCTACTTGCAGAATATCAAAGGAAGCACACTGGCAGGAAAGCAGTAAAAGTAAATTTCTTAGAGATTCAAACAAAATACTTTTTCATTATTAATATAGCCCTACTATCTATTCTCATTGCCTACTACTGAGATATAGGAGTAGATAAGTACCAGTATCAAAAACAATTGGCCAGGGATGGAAGAGACTTCTCAAAGGGGAAAGGAAAATTAAATTCCATCTAGAGAGGAAAATTAAATTAAGCAGTCACCAGTTATGCAGTCCGAAGATCAAATTCTGCCCTAGAGATTTCCCAGGCTCTGATTCATGAAAGCACTTAAAAAAAAATTGTTTAACTTAAGAATGGGCTTGAATTCCATTATTTTCAACACATGCTTCAAATTAAACCTATGTTTCAGGGAGATCCTGAGTTGGAATGATATCCTGAACTGGGCCTCACTGACTTCTTGGTTCATTAACAACTTAACTGGGAGCTTCACATTGTTGAAAAGGCTAAAATTTAGCTAATGTATATGTTGAGGTTCAAATAGAACATGTTGGTTCTAAAAGTCAAGAAGATCTGTTCTCTCTTTGAAAAGGTATATAACCGTTGGTATATGCTCCTTAAGTTGTTGACACAACAGTTGACTTTGCTTTCTTTGCATAGGCAAAATTCTGTTCTGCAACCCTTATAAAACTGAAGTCATTCCATTTATTGCAATATAAATTATATAAAAAAGCAAAATTAGATCTAAGAATTAATGCTTTATAAGGATTATGCCATGTGTATTTTAAATTTATTTTTACTTAATAACCCAGTGGGAAAGGATTATTATAATTGACATTTTGATTGTTCAGTAAAATTACATGTTCACTGTGGCAAACACTGTAAAGATTTTATAAAAAAGCTTTTGGTGCCCATAACATATCTATTTCAATAATTCAAGACCAAGATATTATTAATACTAATAGAGAAATATATACATACTTACCAGTACTTACCAGTACTAATGAGATATGTTGCACTTTTTTTACAAAGAGAAAGCCAGGGTATTTTTAGAATCATTATAATTAATATGGGTATGATGTGTATTTAATATAGTTTTGTTGCACACAGCTGATTGGTCTTGTTTTTTAAACAGATTGTATTTAAGGTTAACATAAATTATAGTTGAGGGCCTACTTCAGACTGAGAGTGGAAGAAAATTGTGTGTTAAATTGTTGTCCTACATACATTTTGTTTTTTGTGGGTGGCTTGTATCTAAGATCTATGGTATTCTGAATCCTGGGGCATGTCTGCAGTGCCTCGGTACAATGTCAAGGAGTGCTACAGTGAAGCACAACACGGATCCTCCACAAAGATTAAAAATGGAACATAATACCTAATGTAGCATTAAGTGCATCCCAATAAGGGCCTTGCAACATGTTGCACTTTGAGCTGCTTAGTGTTGACCAGAGTTAGAGCCAGCTCAAGTTTGGATCAGTCACACCTTAAGGCTGAAAACCTTCTGTCTCCCACTGGCACAACTGTGACTTGCCACTAGAGGGCTGGTGGCTAGGAGCTACAGTTGTGTGTTGCTACTACGGGTCTGATATGCCATGACAGGTTTCTATCCCTCCTTTAGATGGGGGTGGGGGTGTGTGAGATGGGTTGTGGAGGTTGAGAGGGGGTAGGAATATAAAGCTGGGAGGTGAATAGTTAATGGGGTGGGTAATGAAATGGAAGAGGGACAGGATGGGGGAAGGATATGGGGGTGGGATGAAGGAAGTCAGCCATTGAAGGATAAAATAAAAATTAGTTAAAAATAATAATTTAAAAGAAATAAAGAGGAGGTAAATAAAAGGAGATCTCATGTTTTTATACATTTGGATTGGGGTGTGGAGGGTGCTGTTCGTGCTTCCCAGAGTGGCTGAGAGGTTGGAGCAGTGAGGGAAAGCTCTTTTGATGGAGTTACTACCCTTATCCCAGGAAGGAAGCCCCAGCTTGTGGGGACCCAATCTGGTTGCCTACCTTGTTCCCCACCCCTAACCCCCTTAGACCTTACTCCTGGACCCATCCATGCCCTGGGAGCTGCCTAGCTAGTGTGTTAGCTGTAGGCTGTTTGCACAGGGTTGCAACCCTGGGGGTAGGAAGGTCACACCACCAGGGATGGGAGAGGGAGTTAACTTGAGAACCACCCCTGGAGCAGTAGAGTTCATGGGGTATGAATTTATCCATACAGGACAGGAGGGTGGCGGAGGGGACACTGTATCCTGGGATGTTAGAGGGCTGCAACTTGGGCAGCTCATCTGTGGGGAGTGGCCACACATAAATGGAATACAAGCTAGGTAACACAGATCAGAGATAAACCTGCCCTGGAGTGGCCTAATTTTAAGCTTAAAACTAGTTTGAGGTGTTAATGTGTGGACAATCTGGGGTTTAAGACCTCCAGGAGGCACCTAAAATTAGTGTGTAACAAGGCCCTAAGAAAGAGTGCTTAGAGCAAGTGTGGCACATTTACCTGTGGAGCTCCCAGGCAGGATGCTGAGGTTACACAGATGTGTCTTCAGTGTAATATTCCATACTTGGCTGAATTCTGCCTTTCTGCCAGCAGTGACTGGCATTGCACATATTGTACTGTAAAACATATATGTTAGTATAGGTGTATAAAATCAGTGCAAACATATACTACGCAAACTGTATAAATATACACACTTGGTATATTTTGTATTTGTGTGCATATTTAAGCATAGAGCCCAAAAAGCAGTGCTTGTGGGGGATGAGATAAAGGTGTTACTGTGAGTCTTTATTTTTGAGGACCAGAGTTCCATCTCAGATGCTCAGGCATGAATTGTACTGCAGTTCTGGCTAGGTACGATGTTTCTTGTACCTATATATCAAGAGCTGATTTCTAATGCTCTGACAAGGAGAATGTGGAGAATCTTAGATTTGACTCTGGCCCCTTTTAATTTTTGTGCCTTTATGAAAGGAGCCTAAAGTTTGTAAACCAGGAGTCTAAATAAAAGTGAAAAATCCATTAGTAAAACCCCCTCAAAGTATATGTCCATAGTTCTGCCTGTAAATCCTTAGATTACACTCTAAGCAAGTAAAAAAAAGTATTTACATCTGTAAAAATCTTAACACCTAAGATGCTTCTTGCTTGACATGTCATTCCAAATTCTGTGCATTTCTTCTGGAGTTATCTGATGCACAGTGATCACTCTGCGATATCTACACAAGCTGTAAGCCATTTTCCAATGATTGAAGCCACTGTTCTGGAAAGGGTGAATGCCAAGCTTCCGAAGACAGAGTCCAACATACACGTCTTCAAGGTGAAGAAGTCTAGTGTGCAGAGAGGTTTTGTAAATCATTTCTGCTACATCCGCTGAAAAAATGTAGCCAGTGCCTGAACAGAATGGTGGGTAATTGCTATCAGGGTACAAATCTCTAGGCATGTACCATTTACTGCGGACATCCCTAATTGGTCCTCCATTGATGACATAACCAGTAAAGTACCGTCTTCTTGGCTTGGTGTTGGGTTTGAGCAGTTTATAAATAAGGTTATCCATATTTACAAAAATATCACTGTCTGTCTTCATGACATATTTTGCTTTAGAACAAAATGTGGCCACCCACCTCATACCCATTAATGTTTTAAGGGTGAGGTTATGATAAGAATCAATGAAGTCCTCCACGATAATGTCATGAAAAATTTGACTTTCTTGCTCTACCATCTGGTTTAACACAGGATCTGAATTTTTCCCTAGGAGGAAGAGAGTGGCAATTTTAATGCCTTTAAAGTTGTTTTCATCTCCCCATGTCTCTCGAATAGCTTGTCTTGCATCAAATTCTTTGTGAGTTGTGCTGATAAGAATGACTAGAAAAGGGATGCTTTTCTCACATTTAGTAGGCTCATTTATAAGAAAATCAAATGAATGTGGATTTATAGGTCGAGTTCTTATGTTGCCAAAAGAGACATTTTTCCTGGCTATTGATATGGTATTGAACTGTCTATGGCCACTGTAGGAAGAAGTAGGACGTGTTATACTTAAGTACCAAAGAGCACTTGCCCAACAGACTACTGTTAGCACATATAAACATGAGACCTTTGAAGCCATTGTTCCTGCAGCTCTTCTATTCAGTGCAGTGAATAAATAGCCTTCTTACAATTAGCATTTCTGAGTCCCACAAAGGCAGCATATTATTAACAAACCTTAAAGTTCGATATAGAAAAGTAACTGTATAATTGTTCATGGATCTCAAATAGAGGATATTAACCCTGAAGTTACTTTGTCTTTCTTCTTTTGTACAGCAGCAGCTTCCATTTCTTGGAATATTCTCTTATTTCTGAAAAATATGAGAAAAAAAATTCTATTTTTATGTTACAAATACTTAAGGGTTAGAAAAATATAACTAGTGTGATTGACAGTTAATACGATTTAAGACTGTGATTCTTAACCTTTTTTTGTACCAGGACCCATTTGTAAACATTGATGGCCAGTTGTGACCCAGTGCCCCTCATTCCCAACCTGCTGCCTCCCACTCCCAAGCCCCAGATCCCCCAGTATGTAGGGCATGGGGAGCCCCAAGCAGACCCTTGCAGGCTGGACCTCTGCCAGTCTCAAGAGGAAAACCATGGTTTCCCACAGTTTTCTCCTTTAGAGGAGAATCCATTTCTAAGGTGTGTTTGTGACCCTTTCATATACTCTTGTGACCCATGGGTTGAGAAACACTGATAAAAGAGAAGTATCTGTCTCCTGAATTTTTTCCCATGAAATACTCTGATACAAGATACTATAATGAACAGAGAACCTGCTTTTCTTTGTTTAAAAATCGCAAATTCTCTGCTTAAACCCCCCATCCACCTTTTTCCACAAATAAAATGAAGTGCCTCTCTCTCTCTATATATATGTGTGTATGTATCAGTGGAACACAGTGTTTTATTGATATATTTACTATTTAAAGCAATTTGGAAGCCTAACAGTTTCTCAATCATTATAATAAAATAAATTCTAAATACTGGCATTTGATTTTGTTTTTTTAATCACAGAAAATAGGAGCTCACCAGGATGCAGGTCCAGCTGTGGCTGCCCCCCCTGCTGCTTTGTGGTGCTGAGCAGCTCTGATATGCTGGTGCCCTGCCCCTGCCCATGTTGTTGCCCCCCAAGCCCCTAGCCCTGCAGGTGCCTTGCACTCTTGAACCATAGTCCGCCACCCTCTCTAGCCCTGCTGGTGCCCTGCACTCCCAACCCACTGCCCCCATCCCCAGGCCCCAGCCCTCCAGTGTGTGAGTAAGGGGGTGTGAGAGTATGTGGAACAAGATGGACATGTGGGGAAGAGGGGGTGTGGGCATAGCTGACACGTGTGGTGGCAGGAGGGGCACAGGCAACAAATGGCAGGGCAGGGGATCATAGGCAACACATCAGGGGCCATGTGTCCCCCCCAGATTTCTGTGGCCACAGTGAGGCATGGGATGTGGGGCATGGGCTGCAGCATGGCCAGACCAGATCCAGGCAGGAGCTGCTTCTGTGGCCCAGTAGGTGGGGACCTAGCCTGGGAGGGAATGCTGTGGCACCATGGTTACCAAGGTGAGGTGCAGTGGTGGCATCAGCAGTGCAGAGTTGTGGTCCCTGCTGCTGCCTCACCTTGGTAGCCATAGTGGCACAGTGCTCTCTCCCGCACCAGGTCCCACTCACTGGACCATGGAAGGAGCTCCTGCTTGGAGCTGGTCTGGCCAGGCTGCAGCCACACACCTCACTGTGGGTGCAGAAATCGGGGGAGGGGCACATGCCCCCCATGCATCACCTATTCCCTGCTCCCATAGACTTACCTGCCAGGAGCTGCAGGAGCTGCTCTCCACCATGCTGCATGGCTACCACATGCATGTGGGCCTGTGCACATGCACTTGGTGTGCCCTGCATCCTACTCCCCCAGCTCTAAGCAGCCCCTCGCAGGCTGGAACTCTGCCTTTAAAAGGAAAAACCATATTTTGCCATGTTTTTGCATGGCAAGTGGAAAACCCAGATCCCTGGTAATTAAATATATCAGATTTTTGGAAGAACATGGTAATGATCTATGTAGGGTAATGATTCATCTTGGATAATATCTAATGAAAAAGTGTGTTACAGAATTTTGAATCATCACTGACATTTAAAAAGGAGGTGCCTGGAATTTCAGTACCTATTGGATTTTTACAAGTTCTCATAATGTATCAAGGTAGATTCTAAAGTAACTTATATTAGAAATGGGATTGTTTCCATTCTGCTTTACTAAGAACACTAGCATTGTTGGATGGATTTAGAATATTGATATGAACACTTACAATCCCACTTTCAGTATAACTTACACTAACACGTGCCCTGGCACAAGAAAATGCTCTGAAATTCAAGCAGACTTTAACTGATACTTGCATTCCTAAACACAAGTACCATATGAGGAAAATGTACTGTATAAAAATGGAATAAATATGCCTAGAAGTCTATAGATGACTAGCATTAATAAACTGATGTGATTATAGCTCTTTTCTAGACATTTTGTAGTGTGTCTGCAGCTAAAGCTGTGTCTCATCTAGAGGAAATGTTGGTCAAGCATATGTTTAGGTGACCGTATTTTCAGAATAAAAAAAGGAGACACTTTTATGGTGATAACTTTTAGTGCTGCAAAATAGTCCTACAAAAAGTCATGTTAAAAGTGAGCTGATGCTGTTAGTGGTTCAACAACACATTTCTTGGTGCACAAAAGTTTTTCAAGAAACCTCAAGCTAAATCTGACATGATACTAATGTTCTGATTAAGTTAATCTAAAAGCACTGGACAACTGCTGTTAACATTTCCTTTGAGGAATGCAAGCAGCTTTGATAGTGTCTTTTTTACTTTTGGCAGTTCTGAAAGAACATGGGACAGCGTAGTGAAAAATGACTTTCAAATGAGGCTATATGGTCAATTTATATGGGCCTAGGTAGGGTAGGACGTCAAAATCCACTGTACTTTGTTGTGTGTGGAAGTTTCCCTCAGAGCTTTTCAGAAGACAACTACTACAGTGAGAATGGACTGTGCTGAGGAAGGAGTGACAGGTTAAACTGGACTTTAAGTCAAAACCTTAAACATCATAGCATTAAGATATACTCCTCCAGTATTGGTGTTTGTCTTTCATAATAAAACATACCTTGTCCACCGTGGAAGATGTATCAATAGCAATATATTAGGAAAGCATGACTTCTAAAACATTTACTTATTACATCAGATGGCAGAAGATGCATACAAATCTAAACAAAATATAAAGCACCTGCACCCTTTCCTGTCTCTATATTCTCACCCCAGCGGTTTAGTTCAGTTTGTCTGAGGCTCTTGTCTTCTCAGTCCCTTTCTTCAAAATGACTGGTGTGACATGTCTGCTATTCTCAAATTGCAGTCACCTCCGTCTTATGACTCTCCCAATCAGTCTCATCATGTTTAAGTCTCCAACTAGGTGGTCTGTTGTCTAGTTATCTGCCTACATGGGAAAAGTTTTCCCAGGTCTGGACACCATCTTTGTCCATGTGGGCTTCTACATAAATAAAATACTTGCTATCTGCTATCACCATTGCATGACATTTAATTCCAAGATGAGGTAAACAGATAGCAGTGAAGCAGGTTTCAAATATATGTATTTGTGTATTAGGGCGGTGTGAAATGGCTGTCTCATTTCGATTCAGATTCAGCCATTTTGGAGGATAGTGATTCATTTTGGTGTTTCGGATCACTGCTCCGTTTTGATTCAGCTGAATCTGTTTCAGAGTTTTGACACTGTTTCAGAGATTCAGGTCAGCCAGGGAGAGGCAGGCATAGCTGGGCAGCTGCAGATTCTCACACAGCTCCTCCGACTGTGCCTGGCTCTCCCTGGGCGTGGGGAGCTGCGGGAGAAGCCTCCATTCCCCACCCAGCCCCGGCATTCCAGCACTTAGAAAAAAAAAAAGAAGCCCCACACTCCCTGGCTCTGGCAGCAATGATCAGGGCCCCTGAGGGCTCGTGGCAGAGCCCCCAGCCACAGCGCAGGGCACTGGGGGGCAGCAGGGATCACCACCCCACCTGGCACCTGCATGGCAGCTGCCCCATGGTGCGGGTGCAGTGTGGCTAGGCAGGGGGCCGCGCGCTGTCTGGGAGCTGGGGCAGCTCCATGAGTCAGCCAGAGTCCAGCACCACTCAGCTGCATGAGGAGGATCTTCCATGAGCCCTCAGAGGCCCTGATCTCTGCTGTCAGAGCCAGTGAGTGCAGAGCTTTTTTTTCTTTTTCTTTTTCTTTTTTTAAACTCCTGGACTGCTGGGACTGTGTGAGCATCCC